CTACTTCAATGAAAAATGGTCGTATCTTGATTAAAAAAAAACATTTTAAAGCTTCAAGTCATGAGACCTTTTGGCAATTTTTTTTTTAGCTACGATTATTACGAAATCCTAAGAAATATCGCAAGAAAAAAAAATGCATATTTTTTTGTTTTTAATTTACGGACTTGGGGTAATTTTTATTAGTTAAATCAATGCATGGATCAGACAGCTTATTCATTCAGCTTCAATTTGCTCTTCTTTAAATTTCTTTTTATATCAATTTGTGGCTGAAATACATTTGGCTTTTACTGAAAAAAAATCGTTTTGTCTTTGATCATTGATATCTCAGCAACCAATGACCGCACAGAGAATGTAAGGATAGTTTTAAAAACTGTAATGAAATTACTACAAGATGATTTTACGATTAAAAAAAAATTTTTTTTTACTCAACATTGATTAATTAAAAAAAAGTAGTTTTTAAGCTTAACAAAAGACTTAATTATGTAATTGTGTCTAAACATTGTGTAATCTTCATCAAAATATAAAAAAACACAAACAAAAACAAAAAGCAAGAAACAATACTGACTAATTTTTGAGACCATTTTAGCTTTTGCATACCTTAATTTTACTTATCTCAAATTAATAATTGCATTAATTAAAAGTCGATTTTTGAACATTCATGCAAATTTTTAAAAAAAGTCAATTTTTTTTCTTCAAATTGAAGTATTTTACAACTTTGAATATGTACTATTTTCTTACACTTTTTATTAATATATTAAGCAGTTTTTTATTTTTTAATTGTTATTTATTGATTATTTTTGTACTATACGAAAAATTATATTGTTTTTAAATGTTCTTTAAATATTAAATACAATTAATTCAGCAGAAATCGCGAAGTTCTGCAAGTTATACCAACATATGTACAGAAGATCTGAAAAGAAACTTTGTATGTTATTTGTATTGCTTTAATGATTAATTTATCAAGTTTTTTGCTTATGCACCCATTAAAAATATGAAAAGTCGGCACCCATGACTTTTTGTGTTTTTTGTATTCAAATTTCCTGGAACTGATTGATTTTCGTTTCGTTTTCTTCCCCAAAACAAAAACCGGAATTATTATTTCCGTTTAAGAAAACAAAATTTAAAGAGACCTTTTATCTGACGTATTCTTAAATTTAGAAAATTTTTGGTGATTTTTTGGGTGTTGAGTTATCGTATTTCATGCACGTTTTAGTCTACCCCCTACGATTTTTCTCTCAAATTGTGGTAAATTGTTGCAGGTGAAAGTCGAAGAAACCAGTAAGACTGAACTGAACGGTGATGTAGACAAAAAAGATGATTCAGGCAACGAAACGGGTGCTGGAGAGAACGAGCCCGAAGAAGAGCATGAAGTTTACTATGACAAGAGCAAATCTTTCTTTGATAAAATTTCGTGTGAAGCTGTGGAGCGCGCGAAGGGAAAATCACAGAGGACTGATTGGCGTACAGAGCGCAAATTGAATTCCGAGACGTTTGGGGTTGCCGCAACTAGAAGAGGAAAGTAAGTGGAGGCGTGGTTGGTGTCTCTTTATGTGATTTTATTTGTGTGGATTTAGTTTCAGAGGACGCGGAGGATTCCGAGGCATGGGTTATCGGGGAGGTTACCGTGGCGGTTTCAGGCCCCAACAACGTAGAGATCAACAACAAGGCAATCGATCCGGTCAGAATCAACAAAATGACGTGCAAAGACCAAGTAACAGCCAACCTATGGCGTCTGTGCCTGCGGCGACAGGTATGTAACGACGCTGTTTTTTCATAAATGTAAAATTAACGATAATGTTGCATATTTTAATAAATTTTGCTTTATTTAGGAAAATAAAGTACTGATCTGACTAAATAAACAAACATAAACAGTTGCTGACACAGGAACATGGCGACATGACTGGTTTAATTTATTGGGAGAAGGATGCGGATTTAATTAACTGTGAACTGTGATTAAGAGTACTTGATTATTTTGTAAATTGGTTTTTGAGTCAAGCGTGAATCGTTACGAAAAGCAATGCTTCTTTTTGAGTTTCCTGGTGTCAGTATTAAATTAGGTTAGATAAGGTGTACCTTAAGTGATAAATATTTTATTTTATATATAAAAAAAGGGCAGATAAAAAGTTTAGTAATGTATATTTTTACTGCCAATAGAAATTAATATTAATTTTTTATATTTCTTGTAGCTTTATATAGTTAGAACAATGTTTATTTCTTTAAATTATACACTTATTTTAATTTTTAATATTGGGTCAAAAATTCTAATCAATTGTTCTAACTGGTTGTAATAATATAATTTGCCAAATGGTTGTTGTAATTTATTACTGATTATTACTGTTGTCATAGACTTTGTAATATTAAGAAATTTTGAAATAAACAACTCTTCAAAAATACACACTCGTTTTTTGCCTTCTTCCAGAAATTAAAGCCACTTTTTTCTAGGTCGAACTACATTTTCTGTTTTATCATTGCAATTTGCACAAAAATAAGGTAAGTGAAACTGTTGATAAAATGTATAGTAAAAATGGACTTTTAATGAGCATGAATTTTATGAAGTTCAAGGTGTTTCGAAATTTATAAACGCAGCTTAAAGTTTTTTTCATGATAATTTTAAACAGTCGCAAAAATTACATCTTTTATACGGTTTTTAACTTTTTAATGAACAATTTAAGCGATGTCTATAGCTATTATTTTGGTGCAAAATTTTCTCTCTCGGGCCACAAAAACTCATATGGTTCCTTGTCATCTTCCACGCACCATGCACCCCCAGACGACGCATGTCTCACAATTTGAACCAAACCTTTAGCGACCGATTCCGGTCTAAAATAAAAAAATCAAAAACAGAAGTAGTTAAATTGAATCATACTTCTGCCCATGTATGCCTGAAAGTAGTTCTTGTAGCAGTTTTTCATAAGGTTCTCCTAGATTGCGGCCTGAAATTTCTCTAAGAAGTGGCGTATCTGTAGGACCTGGACAAATAGCCATGACTCTAATTTTGGTTCTCTTATAATGTGCTTCGTCTCCAAATGCTTTAGTCATGCCCAGAATTGCAAATTTGGTTCCAGAGTAGATGGGAAATGCGGGAAAACTTGCAACTCCGGCGATTGAGGAAATGTTGACGATGACTCCTTCAGAATCAGTTTTGTGTTTCAGGATGTAATTCTCTAAAGCAAGGAGTATGCCATGAACTGTTCCGTTCTAAAAAAGTGATTAAATAAAGAGTCGTGAAGGAAAAAAATCGTCCTTACAACGTTTATTGCTATTTCTTGTTGCCAAATAGACTCATTTAAAATGCCTGCACCGTTGACTAAAATATCTAGATTCTTGAAAGTGTTTACGGTTTTCTGAAATGCTTCTGAAAACAAAAGTTTTTGTGACAATTTCTCGTAAAATCTTACAATAAAATACCTTCAAAACTCTTCATGCTTGTCACATCGGTGAGCACAAAAATAGCTTTATTCGATCCGAATTCATTTTTTATTTCTTGCAAAGCCTTTTCTCCAAGTTCTTTGTTTATATCAGCAATTGTAACGCCCTGATTATTTTGTTGCAGTTTGAATTCACAATTTTTGTATTTTTAACTTACCCTTAATCCGTTTCGTAACAATTCTTTCGCAATTGTTAAACATATTCCTGATGCTGCTCCCGAAATCAAAGCTACTTTGTTAGTAATATCGAAAGGCATTGTTATGTTTTTGCCAATTCAAACACAAAATAAAATTTTAACTTGTTTGTTATCAATATATAGAAATTCTAAAATGGATTGATAATAAATAAATATAACTTTTAACAGTATGAATATTAGTTAATTATCAACAAAAGGCATTATGCATGTAATTCAAGGTTTTACATTTTTTTAATGTTTGTAAACATGATATTTTATTATTTAAGTGATAATTTTTAAACCTTATTTTACTGGTTGTAAAAAAATGTTAAAAAAATAATTATTTGCGACCAAAATTTTGGAAAAAAAATTTGATACAAGAATGCAAAAATGTTCACACTCACTTATTTATTTTCACTACACTACAAGCTACATATTATTTACCACTAGAACTGTATTTTTAATTGATAATAACTTCAACATAAGTTAAGATTAGTATTGATAGTATTGCTATGATTTATAGACATTCTGTTATGATTTTGTATATTTTTCGGAGTTTTATCTTATCGTTTTTTTTATAAATTCACTTAAATTATGCAATGATAATAACTAATCATAATTCTTTGAATAAATTAATAGTTTTAAATTGATTAACTAATTAATCAGCATCGAATTTTTGACTGATCATCGCATAATTAATTATACCGTGCGATCAAAAAAATAATAAATTAGAGTAGGCGGTGATTAAAGTCCTTCAGATGGCAATCCTGATTTTTGACATCAAATGTCAGCGGAAACTTTGACTAGTTTGCGTTTTATTCCTTTTGAGTGAAATAATGTTCACTTTAGAGCAGACATTTTTTATTGCTGTACAAGAGGGAAACGGTGGATGGTCATTTGCACTTTGAGTTTGTGTGGAAAATTTCTAGCTCAGATTTCCAGCCAATGTGTTGCCAACTGTAGAATTCAATCGACGCCTACTCTAATTTATTTTTTATTTGATCGCACGGTATAACGGTCTGTGACATTGATGATAATCAGGAAATAGTAAGTGTAGGTAGTGTTTTATTTTTACATTGGTAAGGTAAAAGGTGAAAAATTTGTTTGTTAAAAATATAGACGAATAGTGCCTTATTTAGTTAAATTTCCAATTTAAAAATTAAGTTTTGAACACACTGAGGATGCTCCAGGATCTAGAACTCATTTTTTCTATTAATAAATAGAACGCTTGATAATAATTTTAACACATATGTAACTAACTGCATATAATTTATTTATTCAAACAATATAAAAATAAATAAAAAACAGTAGTTTAATTAACACAAAGGGCCAGTTAAAGGGTCAATTTATTATCCAGATGGGGTAATTTTAGTCGGGGGGGGGGGGTGTTTCATTGCCCCACTCTATAAGCCCACACTCCCAAAACGCAAACTTGGATTTAAAAGTCCTTTCATACACACTTTTTCGAACCAGAAAACTTTTAACATCCTTTTATTAATTTAAAAGCATCCAAAATACTCTCAAACCTTAGAAATCAAATTTTTTTGTGATACAAATTGTTAGGTAACTGTAGATCCCAGGTTAGAGGTCAAGAATAACTAATAATTCAGTCATTTACTGAACATTAAAAGTGTAGGAAACAAAAAATTCTCTGAACGTAAATGGAATAAATGATCCTCTTATGATTTTTTTGGATTTTTTTTACCTTTAATATTGATTAAAAAAAAAGAAAAAAAAGTAAGTTAAGACCCTGTTAATTTTAAAATCGATCCATCAAAGCGTTTTCTCGGGCCGATTGATAAAAGTTTTGCAAAACAATTAAAGGAACAATTATACAAATTGTTTCTGAACATCGTCTCTTCTCCAATATGAGAAAAACAATTTTTTTAGCTTACTTTTATAATTCCGCATTACTTAAATTTGGAAAAAAAACAAAAACAATTCAAAAATTTGTT